TTTAAACATGCACAATATGACTATTTATCTTACAATATCTTACAATACCCGATTAAACTTATAATATTACGCACATTTATTTAAAAATATCATAAATTAAAAGTTTATTTTATCAAAATAATTATTTAAAAAAATATTAATCTATTAACCAAACATATGCAAGCAAACACACGTAACTTTTAAGTAAATGTAATAATAACTTATTACACCAAGCTGTTTTGAAATAACAATTAATATTACAGTATTATGATTGTTTAAAAATGTAAAGGATTTTTCACTTAACAAAGTGATTTTAATAAAATAATTAATTATTGCTAGAGCAAAAATTCTTTGGAATTCCCGAATAGAATTAGTTAATAGAATCTTCGGGAATAACATCCAGTCAGTTTTGTAGGTTATAATGGAGTAAAAATACACTAGTTTTATTTTCCCAAATATTCCTGATTTTAGCATATTTTGAGAATAATCCCGATTTTGACATTAGTTAGTTTTAAAAAATCCCGAAATTTTATGCAAAATAGTTTGAAGAGCACTCTTTTAAAGAACAACTAAAAATATTATTATACAAATCCACAATATTTTGAAATAAGACGTCTAACAAAATATGCACCTAATGAGTTTGACTTTTTTCAAGTTAAGAATAATCATACAAATAGAAGATAGACTTAATGAATAAAACTACAATTTCTATGTTATTCTATCTAGTATAATTTATTTTAAAATCACTGTAATTACTGTGTTTGAACTGAATAAACGTTAATTCTTGAATTTTTACTCCCGGTTCCCGACCGAATTTGTTTGTTTTTATTCCCGAATAATCTCTGCTCTAATTATTATTTATTAAAAACTCTAACCCTTTAATAATAACAATTTAAGTTTACATTATTATATAAGTGGTTTGTACCATGTTTGATATTTAATTTTGAAACTTATTTTTTTAATTAAATAACAATAACAATCTTTATTTTGATAATTAATAATTTTTGCTAAATAATACAGGAATTTAAAAAAGTTGAAAACTAATTATATAAATTTAATCATTTATTAATTTTTAACATTAAAAATTGCAACATTAATAAATAGTAAATTATCATTTATAATACAAATATTTTAATTAACATCAAATAAATTACTAAAAAAGTTAATTAAATTATTAATAAAATAAATAAAATAAAATAAACAAATAAGGTTAAATATAACCCGGTTATATACGCATGGACATATCAGTGAGCCTGGTTTCGCAAAGTCGGGGCAAATTTGATAATCGGGTGCCCATATTGTCCAGGCGCTGATTTAGGGCCTCCAGTTGTCGGCCAACACAATCGTGGTCATATCTAGCATGCTTGATATTTCTAATATGCTCTTGCTGACTCGCCTGCTTGTACTCGGCCGCCCGGCGCCTGATGTCCTCCAATCGATTCCGTTGCTCGAGCCGTCGGGTTCGGGCCTCCCGTTCCCGTTGCAGCTCAATGTTTCTGAGCTGTTGCACGTGAGGCACGTAATTGTACTTATCGTTGGTCCGCAATATTGACAGGTAAACGGCGTTTTTGTCCCAGGACATTTTTGTGATATACTTTAACTATATTAACTTTTAGTTATTATTGTTATTTTAGTTATGATAGTTTTTACAGTGTGTTGAACTTTGTAGAAATTGAGGTATAATTACTTTTTTAATATGATGCTTTTTTATTGCACAATAATAATAATGCTTGAGTACTTGTTACTGAAAAAGTTTTGTTTCAAAATGACATTCTTGAAAATATGTCACATTTAATGCTATGTTGTTTTGTAACTTATCTACGTCAGGCGGTATGCGCTGCTACATTATATTTACCAGTATAATATACATGTTTATATATTTTATGAACACTAATTTTGGTCCATTTATATTTAAATGTTGTTATGTTAGAATAATTTAAACAACACTATTTTTTAATGTGCGTAATTATTTACCATATACTAATATGGCATAGCATTTTATCATGGTTATATTATTTACCAAGTATTGTCTGTAGAGGTATTTTAAAAATGTTTGTTTTCAATGAAATTGAATGATAAGTGTTGTTTCGCATACAGTATTGTACGCATAGATTAGTTGTGGTTAAAAATAAGTTTCTGTTTTTGTGGGTTATTTTTGAGCATTTTGTATTTTGCAACACAAAATGATTTATATTTGTCACTCATAGCCATAGAAAGTAATAGTAAGTAAATTCGAGAGAGAGAGAGAGAGAGAGAGAGAGAGAGAGAGATGAAAATGTTTGATTACATTCTCAAAGACATACATACGTACACACCGTGTGTTAAAAATAGCGCTTATTTCTAACATAAATACCACCAAAAAAATTAACACAAAACACATTAAATGTCAGAAAAAAACATTTTCTGTCGCAGAATATTCTGGTGCAAAGGTTTTACTTCACTAAATAAATAGCTGAGTTTTAACACAGATTGCCAATATTACACCGTACGTTTTGTCAGCAAATTAAACATTGTGATTTAATAACAGAATGGATAAGGTGAACCTGTATTATACGCAACTCAATAATCATTATGATTCAAACCTGTGGCCACACAACTCCCGGTTGACCAGCGAATGGAAGCGTCGACAGCAAACCGCTCTCAACAGTCTATTGGCCCAAAGGCTCCGCATTAATAACCATCACATTCGGGCCCTCAGGGGTGAACTCCTCGATGGAAAACAGCGGCAGACCATTCAAGTGCATAGGAATATAAGACCATTTTAAGATGGTCGTGGTGGTTTTTTTTATTAAAGAATTAAAGGCGTTTTATTATGTTGTTTTGATGTAAAATGATATTTGTATGTTTAAAATGATTATGCACATTTTTGTTATACGCTATATTTTATTTATACTGATTCAGAATAATTTCAATATTATTATGTTTTTGTTTTAAAAATGTATTTATTAATTAATATAGTTTAATTTAGCTAAAATACTTATTTCTATGTAGTTTTATGTAGTCTTATTTATATGTTGTTTACGAGAAATTAATTCTAATTGTAATGATAATAATTAATTCGTACACTTGATTGCTTGCTAAGTTTGCAATATGGAAATTTCTAATGTCATATTATTACACTATTCTGTATGTGACAATGGTGAATTGTCTAGTCATTATATAAATGAATATTTACTTTATTTAAATATAAAAATATTATTTCCATTAATGTTATTATTTATGATTGTATTTGTCATTAAATGATTACAATAAATAAAAGTGGTTGTCATTTAATCCTTTATGCTTTACCCCTTTGTTAAAAATGGTGAATTAAACCTTTTGCAATTAAAATTATTTATAATAATTAAAACTAATACACAACATATTGTATTTTGTTATTTAAAAAATATTAAAATCTTTATTACATTAAATCAAAATTATATTATAAACAAAGTATACCCTAATTAACCGGTATTACCATGTGTTCATGTTGTAATTACATACTGGCACTAATATTGCCACCATTGGCCGTACTAATACACGTAGGGTGCACATGTACCCTATTGTTGAACGTGGTGCTCACTTTATTTGGTTGGCTGCCGGGCGTTATACACGCCTATTGTGTACTGTGCAGTCCGGAGCACGAAGAGAGGCGCGACTACCCGGTGACCAGTATTGTTATAAACGAGGCCATACCACAGGGCAATACCACCATTATACAACAAGATCGTCCATATTTCCTACCTGGTCAGCCAACCCCAGGACAGTATTACCAGCCAGAGCCCTTCCCGGAGCCGTTTCACCCTCAACCTGATCGCGGTTATTATAATACACAGATGTATATTCCTGATGATTAAGTGCACTGGTGTGTGGGTGTTTTTGTTCCATGTGTCTTTAATTATGATTAATTTATTTAATCCAATACCTGTTTTATCTTTGTAATTTAATTATGTTTTAAAAATTACAACAAATAAAATATTTAGTTTATAAAAATCTTATTATATTATAAATATTATAAATAAATAATAGAATTATAATATTTTCTTGTTAATAAATATTGGTAAATTAATTATACAAAATGCAGTTTTCAATGACTACCCTTTAAAATTATATTTTTACCATAAATTGTTGATACAGTTCTTGAAAAATATCTTTGAGATTTACTTAGTCTTTAAATAGTTTTATAAAAACATTGCTCTCTCTCTCTCTCTCTCTCTCTCTCTCTCTCGAATTCACTTACTATTACTTTCTATGGCTATGAGTGACAAAAATAAATCATTTTGTGTTGCAAAATACAAAATGCTCAAAAAATAACCCACAAAAAACAGAAACTTATTTTTAACCACAACTAATCTATGCGTACAATACTGTATGCGAAACAACACTTATCATTCAATTTCATTGAAAACAAACATTTTTTAAATACCTCTACAGACAATACTTGGTAAATAATCTAACCATGATAAAATGCTATACCTTATTGGTATATGGTAAACAATTACGCACATTAACAAATAGTTTTGTTTAAATTATACTAACATAACAACATTTAAATATAAATGGACCAAAATTAGTATTCATAAAATATATAAACATGTATATTATACTGGTAAATATAATGTAGCATCGCATACCGCCTGACGTAGATAAGTTACAAAACAACATAGCATTAAATGTGACATATTTTCAAGAATGTCATTTTGAAAGAAAACTTTTTAGTAATAAGTACTCAACCATTATTATTATTGTGCAATAAAAAGCATTATATTAAAAAAGTAATTATATTTAAATTTCTACAAAGTTCAACACACTGTAAAAACTATAATAACTAAAAGTTAATCTAGTTAAAGTATATCACAAAAATGTCCTGGGACAAAAACGCCGTTTACCTGTCAATATTGCGAACCAATAATAAATACAATTACGTGCCTCACGTGCAACAGCTCCGGGACATTGAGCTGCAACGGGAACGAGAGGCCCGAACCCGACGACTTGACCAACGGAATAGACTGGAAGACATCAGACGCCGGGCGGCCGAGTACAAGCAGGCCAGTCAGCAAGAGCATATTAGAAATATCAAGCATGCTAGATATGACCACGATTGTGTTGGCCGACAACTGGAGGCCCTAAATCAGCGCCTGGACAATATGGGCACCCGATTATCAAATTAGCCCCGAC